ATGAATGGTCAAATAGTTCTTCAGGCCGATAAGGGAGGAGCGACAGTTGTAATGGACAGGAAACATTACACGAAGAAGATGGAAAGTATCCTAGGCGATCGAAACACCTATCAAATACTAAGGAAGGATCCAACCACGAAGATCAACGGAATACTGAAGAATATGCTCAAGGAAATGCTAAATACTAAGGAAGGATCCAACCACGAAGATCAACGGGATACTGAAGAATATGCTCAAGGAAATGCATACAAATGGGAAAATTGACGGATGGATGATGAAATCTTTAATCAAAAATGACGCAAGACCATCGATAGCCTACGGACTACCGAAGATACACAAGGAAGGAAATCCTCTAAGAATGGCATTAAGTGTAAAACGTTTGTATGAAGATCAAGATATTGTAGCCTCTATTTAGGCTGCTTTCATCTTTAGATGTATATAATTGGTATGTTCTCGTTCTGTCGGTTTGGTCATGTTATCAGAGGGACTTTGTTGGATGCATCTTGTCCGACACCACCCGCCATAGTAATTATAAGTTTTCGCGTCAGACCGTGGACTTGGTACATTCCCAAACATTTCGCCGCCATCATAGTCGGCATTGTCATTGAGCCTTGCAACCACGCTACAACTCGCCTGGTGGTAAGAATGACAAGGCTAATTCACCAGGCTTACCGTGATGCGGGTGAAACTTATAGGGATATACCAACTCCACTGTCCTACACTGGATATTATCATAAATACTATGAAATCTGGAAAAGATGCGTTCATCCACAGTAAACGGCTTCCATAGAACGAATGGATACCGCAACCATACTAACGTCCACACTTTATTAGTCTTCACACTAGATATATGATATTTTATATAATTTCACGATCGCTTATATGTATACGTAGCAACATCGATTTTTCTTCTTCAATCTTTGTTGAAAAGCGGTTTCGTTGCTTAGATGCGGCAACACAGCAATTTACTTTGGATTAAAGCTGTACCTATGCTTTCTTAGACGAACAAGTGGTTTCAGTTAAGATCATTAATATTAAACCTCCGTGATGATCGTGGGAAACGACGAGCCCCAATCCCATTGAGTTTACATATCTGTCCCATTTTTCACATTTTCCATTCACTAGACTAGTGAACTGGATCCTACAACTGTATCATTAGGCTCTGCACTATTTGACTCGTCCGAATTGACCTTTCATCCCAGCATTTTGGAGCATTTCCTTACCACAGCCCTTGAAGAAGCCGGCCATACTCAGCATCACAATTTGATCGAATCCAAACAAATGCCGCCCTCTATTAGTTGGCCGTATCAATTATTTGCCCTTCCATTTACTATCCATATAATCACGCCTACTGCTACCAGTTTTACAAACCGCACGAGTGCCTTTGGTCTTGGCTGGCATCAGCTCGCCAGAATAGGCCTCTCAGTTGGCCTGCCTGAGGCCTTGACTGGCATCCTCCCCGGCTTTGTCAATTGGCCATCCACCGATCCCATTGCCTCGGCTTATCAAAAAATATTCACTTTGCTTCTTAAAGTCAAATACACTGGCTGGCTGGTAGCCCGTCTACATAGCCAATTTTATCGACATATTGGCCAGAGCCGATCTTTGACATATATTCATGACCCCTTGGATCAAACGAGACAGATGAGGCGGCATCAAGCAGAACTGTGGCTGCATGAAGCTGGCCAGGTTGTGAGGGGCCTCGATGGCTATTTAGCTAACCAGGTAGTTCTGGCAAGCTGGAGCGAGTTCCGCACACGTTTGGACGAGGGCCTATGCAGAGCAGAACTCCTTGAACCGCTAGACAGGGGTGCGAAAATCATTTCTGGGATTGGAGCGCCTTCGTGGTCTGGTGTTCCAGAAACTACCAATTGCTTCTTTGGCAATAGAAGCTATGCGGATCTTTCTCAAGTGACTTGTCTTCGGGACATCTACCAGCTCCATTCAGACTACTTGGGTAAAGTGCTGACTCGGTAAGAATAATTTTTTAAATTTAGATAGTTTTGCTCCTGTATATGGATCGCATATTTCGTGAAACACCAGCCAAAAAAAATTGAGGAACTTATCATAAATTAAGATAAACTTCCAAGGCTAAAAATAGTTTTTTAGTGGCAACAGATGGCGCACAATTTTTTGTCGTTTCCTTATTTCTCTCTTCATTACAATTTAAATCATTCTTTTGTATTATACTCATCGTTCAGATTGCACCCTCTGTTGGAGTACCTTTCAATTCGCTTGAGGCGACTAAGAGAGATTCGTAAGTCGGTCTCTCCGGAAGCTGTAGGGGGATTGCTTTGGAGCCGTGCTTGTAGATTGTAGACCCCGATGAAACGGACGAAAGCTCAACAAAGTTTAATCGGGGTCGCAGGGTGGTGCGCCGAGGACTTCTCAGTACAAATCTACAATCGCAGCTCCAAGGCAATCCCCCTACGGCTTCCAATGAGACTAACTTACGAATCCCTCCCACTTTCCTCTTCAAACGAAATTAAGGGTACTCCAACATCAATTTATTAAGGGATTCTTCAAAAGAATTTTTCTACATGTTTATGCACCCTCTATGATCTGCTACGATAGCGTCACTGAATTTGTGTTTCCACTTTTAGACCTGACCCCTATAAAACAACTATTTTTGCTCTCGAGCCATTGTTGCGTATCAGTGATGCAACTCTTTCATCATACCTTGCTTGCTTTCTTGAGAATAGTGATAACTTCCGAGAATATTGGCTCAATTTTTTGTCATCTACCCTTGTGAATTTATGGGTCGCTGTATGTCCGACGATCTGGCAAAATTATGTTACTCATGCGGTCCGGTCTTGCCAATCGGTCCCAATACTATATCCAAAGATGATAGCCTAGCAATTTTTGCCCTTCATAGTTTGTTTTTGAGCATTGTATAATAACTAGCGTTGCCTGTTAGATGGACGTTAACATGTGATGCGGGTATTTATGATAAAAAGATCCTTGTGATTTCTAATTTATCCTTACGATTAGGATTTGAATTATGTTGGGGTCGAGACTCAAGTCCACTATTGTAGGCCATGTAAGGACAATTCAATGAGATTGTGGGGTTTACTCGTTTGATAGAAGTGGGTTTGATTGCTGGAAAATTTCCACTACTTCCTCTTCGCTTTATGCTACCTAAGATGTCTGCAGCTAATAATATTGATAATTACATGGGTCACACTAGATTTCCTAAGGACTGATAATTGATTTTTTCTACAGCAAACTTAGTAGGCTTCATATTAGCATTAATTTCACTTTACTTGCTAAAAGGTCTTTATTTCGAAAATGGATTGCATTTCGTTTTACAATTATATTCCAAACGGGGTTTTAAACCGAGTAGTGGTCACAACCGTGATTTAAAGGACACACCTGATTTGTCTTGAAAGTTGGATCTGGCCTGTGACCCCTTGTGATCCGTGTCGGCGCGGCAGTGACAATACGTTTCCACTTTACTTAAACAAACTAATTTTGAATCTTGTTGTGGCTGTTGATGTGATTAACTCTGCGGTTCAGCCTTATGGGAAGTCTTTTAGAAGGCAATGCTAAATAAAATCCAATGGAATTATGAGGTCTACTCTTATCTTATTCACTATCCGCCTTTAAGTAATCTTAAGAGACTTGGATTCATGACCTATAGGAGAAACATTCCTTCTGATTTCCTTTGTTACGAAGAGAAACTTGGTTTCGATGAATCTCCTCAGGTAACATTGTTAAGAGGATCTTATTTCGTATGAAAGTGCATGAAGAAGAGATTCGTTGGTCAATCTAACCAGATGAGGACGGATGAAACTCGTTGTACTGCAGCCGGTTGGATTTTATACGATATTCATGTTGACGC